CGGTGCACATTATTGGATTTAACCTTCTTAGTTTACTATTTCGGTGAATTTCCTTGGCTTGTTGTAGTTGAGATGCTTCAGTTGAAAAGAATAACTGTTGAGTCAGTTTGATTATTACATCATGAGATGTCCGAAGTTCAGTTAATGTAAGTGGACCCATACGGCGTGGTCGTTTGCAACGTAAACAATATGCTATAACCCTTATTAGTTTATTAAATGATGAGAAGCGAGTAAAAATCGACCATAAATAATTATCGGCAGGAACATTTGGTTTTGTTAGAAAACATGATACCTTGCGTAACTCAGGTAACTCTGGAATAGGTGTTATTTCATTTATGGGCCAATTACAGTTTGTATTCAACCATTCTGGACCGTGTTGCCAAAGGGAAGGACGCACGAACTCCGCAGGTAGCAAGCCCCTTGAAGCAAGATCAGCCGGGTTGTCGTGTGTCCGTACGTGGTACCAGTCATTTATATTGGTATTTGCCTGGATATTTGAACATCTGTTTGAAACAAAAGGTAAAAGTCTTTTTGATGGAGTTCGAAGCCAATGTAAGACGATCATCGAATCCGTCCAAAAATATACACTATCCAACTTACAAGGAATGGCGTCCTTTACTATGTTATATAATTTAGTAAGCAATGCAGCCCCGTATAATTCCAGCTTCGGAATTGTCAGCCTTTTAAGTGGCGCAACCTTTGACTTAGCGCATAATAACTCGGTGTACACCTTATTGTCCCAATCGACAGACCTTAAGTACATACAAGCCCCATATGCGTTTTCACTAGCGTCGCAAAAACCATGTAGTTGAATTGAGCGGGCGTTGCTAATGACAGTTTTCCTTTTAAAGGAAAGGTTATTGAGCGCAGGAAGTTGATTATAATATTGGACCCATTTACAGTGAAGATCCATCGGTAACGTTTCATCCCAATCTAGCTTAAGTGACCATAGCCTCTGTATTAGAATTTTCGCTACTATGATCACTGGTGATAAAAGACCAAGTGGGTCAAAAATGCTGGCTGTTTGAGATAGTATTTGGCGTTTGGTAACACGGTCACTCAAATTACATGCTCGTACTTTATATATAATACTATCAGATGTTGAATCCCACGAAACGCCTAATGTTTTAATTGTAGACGATTGCCCAATTTGAAGATGGGGGTTAATACTTTCTTTAGGCAGATCCTTTAGTAAATTAGGATCATTAGAAGCCCATTGTCTTATTTTCAATTGACCTCGTTCTAACAGATTGATAAGCTCATCTCTTATAGTGACTGCCTCTTCTACTGTATCTGCTCCGGTTATTGCGTCATCCACATACATATCTTCCTTGACGATTCTGGAAGCTATAGGAAAATCAGCTGCTTCATCATCAGCTAACTGATGTAAACAAGCAATAGCGAGAAACGGTGCGGGCCCAACTCCAAAAGTAACAGTGTTCAATTCATATGTTTGAATTTTATTATCGTCATCTCTCCACAAAATTCGTTGGTAACGTCTGTCTTCGGGGCGAACTAAAAATTGTCTATACATTTTCTCAATGTCACCTGTAATAACGATTTGATGGATTCGAAATCGCAGCAACAAAGAGAAAAGATCACTCTGTATAGTAGGTCCCACCATCAGGGTATCATTTAATGATATCCCTGTACTGGACTTGGCTGACCCATCAAAGACAACACGGACCTTTGTAGTTAAGCTACCTTCTTTCAGTACTGCGTGGTGAGGAAAATAATAATTTGAACCTTCTGTTTGTTCATGAGTGACCTTTGACATATGACCTAGTGTTAAGTATTCTGTGAGAACGGCATGATATTGATCCTTTAATTCAGTATCCCTTGTTAATTTTCTCTCCAGATTATACAATCGTTTTAATGCCATTGCATAAGATTCACCTAAATCTGGTTTTCTTTCATTGAACGGCAAGGCGACTACATAACGACCATCCTGATTGCGGGTGACGTGTCGTTGAAAATGTTGAACACATGTTTGTTCTTCAGAGGTGAATGTTTTACCTGGTGATCCTTCTTCTACTTCCCAGAATTTCGCTAAGTCGAAATATACTTCGTTTGTCATATGACATGTATGAGTTGGTGATACCTTTATTGACGGCGCGCTCCCCCCGATGACCCATCCAAGTCGTGTTTTTTGTAAATATAATTCGATTCCCTTATCTGATTGTATTTGCATCTGTCCTACACAAAACAATGACAAGGCGACCCCGGCTCCAAGTAATAAATCTATTTCTGCGGGTTTATGAAAGTTAGGATCGGCTAATTTCAAATTGTGAGGAATCTTAATATTTTCTCTATGAATAGGTTGGTCAGGTATACGCTGAGATATAGAAGGAACTACCAAAAATGTAAGTGATCGTTCGTATCTATTGTCCCTTGATTTTATGACTGCGTTGACGGTACCCTTTGCGACAGTTGTTAATGTGTTTAAGGCACCGATGGAAACATTACATTTTTCTATTTTGAGTCCTAAGGCATTTGCTAAATCTTCAGTCATAAAATTCGATGTAGCACAAGTGTCAATAAGGGTGCGAGCTTGAATTGATTTGTCTCGGCAATTGAAAACTTGGACGACAGCAGTAACCATTAAATCACTCGTTGCTGAATTGACTACAAGTGCAACAGACCTGTCAGGTTTATGAGGGGCATCTTCCGCCCTTTGTGAAGTGGGCAATGATGTATTTTCCTTTAGAGTCGGCGATGGAGATGAAGTGGGTGTATTTCCATTAATTTTGGACCGTTGACCCTTTTCTGCATATCGGTGTAAGAGAGTGTGATGACGTCCTTGGCATTTATTGCAGCCCTTTCTGGAACCACAGAGAGAATATCCGTGCCCATAAGACAGACAATTGTAACAAAGTTTTGCCTTGGTCACGGCATTTCCTCTTTCTTCTGCAGATAATTTATGAAATGGTTCACACTGGTAAATGGTATGAGAATCTGAACAAATGGGACATGTGCGCTTGTTTGTAAAGAAAGAATGGGTTCGGGTGTTGGGATTATGTTGTTTCCTGAACTTGTCTACTTCAATTTTTGGAGAACTGGTTTCCTTTGTTGATGAAAACGTCGAGTACTTGGATCTTTTTTCTAAGAATTTCAACAAGGTTTTATAGCTGGGTACTTCATTGTTGTCTAATGTCATTTCCCAATGCCATGCTGTTGCTGGATTAATTTTAGATAAAATTAAATCTGTGACTGGAATATCCCACGTTGCAACAGGAGCCTTTAGATTTTCTAGTGACCTCATATGTTGATTAAATATGTCAACCAGATTACCTAAAGCTACCGGTGTATCCTTTTGTAATCGAGGATACTCACGAAGAATTGCCCAATGTCGCATCATGTTCTGACGGGTGCAATCGTACTTTTCTTTTAAGATTGACAATGCAGTGTGGTAATTGTCGTTGGTAGTCTGTAATGACTCAATTGCAGCATATGCCTTACCTTTCACAGACATGCGTAAATACTGCAGTTTACGAGCGGGTTCCAAGTCGGTTTTATCGATTAATGATTGGAATAAATCGAAATATGAATTCCAATTCTCAGGATTACCATCAAATGAAGGTAGATTAATTTGAGGTAAATTTGCAAGTAGGGGTGCTTGGCGATTTGACGATGGTACAATTTGAATTTCACTTGAACTTGATGTTGACTGTGTCGGAGAGCGTGATTCACGAAGATATTTTCGGGCTCTTCCAAGAGCGGTGTTGTATTTTATTATAATCGGTTCCCGGTGGTCAATTTCTGTTTCATCGATATCTTCTAACTGCTCTTGAATATCTTCAAACTTCTTGTAGGCCTTTTCCATGGATTCTAAGGTGGCTTGCAAATAATCAGCATCGCGTTGGTTGGGGTTCGAATCCCATTCGTCGAGTGTTTTTGATAAAATAGTGATAGTACTTAGTACATAGCCTCGTCTGCGGTGTAATCTTTGTAATTCGTCGGTCATTTTGAGTGGCGATTAGGTTAAGTAGAAAGGATAACAAAAGGAATGGCGATTTGTAACAAATTAACGAACCTACCTTGACTGGTTGATGACGGTTCCGACGGTGAATTTCGCAGCGGTGACTCTCACGGTGATGACCTCTCGGTGACGACTCTTTCAGCGATGATTTTCTCAAGGGTTGTAGTGAAACGATGTAATGATAATCCAGTACTAATGTAAGGAGCACTTTCACGTGCACTAATTAACTGAACTGTTTACACTATTATATGTCACTAATTTATTAAGGTGCGGCTCATACACACTGTATTAGTAACTAAATGTTCACAATCCGGCTCGAAGGACCAAAAAACTGTTTCATACGATTCGGTGACTCAGAATCGGCGGCTATATTATCGCATGAAAAGTCCTAGCAATCCTAATTAAAGGGTTGCAGGTTTTTGTTGGAGATTGAAAAAACACTGTAAATGTAGTAGAATCTATTGAATCTATTTACAATATATACAATGCCTTCAATCGGCGTACACTAGGTGAAACAAGAACGGTGAATAAAAACGATGAATAAAACGGTGAATAAAACGGTGAATGAACGGTGAATGAACGGTGAATAAAACGAAAGGTGCGACTTAGCAGCAACCTTCGTACTCTCCTCTTGGTACCGATGGCACGCTACTTAAGGGTGAAAAGGTGGTGAGACAGAGAAAGACAGCACAGATGTATTAGCAACCGGTAAGAGAAGGATAGGCGAATAGTGGTCGAAAGTACAGAAAAGTCATAAATAAAGGAGAAAACAAGGACAGATAGATAAGATGTAGAGAGAGACGATGAAATAGAAAGCGAGGTACTTGACAATTTACAACATTACCGTACATAGTATATGACTATAATGCCGTTGTACTTATTTTCATTTTTTTTTCACAGATGTGCTCGTTCGCATGGAAATAGAAGCGACACCCGCTGCGTCCACATCTGCACCCACAACTTCTGGCAAGTTGTCCCTCATTACTTACTGTTTTTGTAAATTCGAGTTCATAGATGATGCTTTTAAAAGGGAATCCAAAGCTGAATGTCGGTCACGCAAGCGTATTCCGTGTTTAGTTGTGAAACCGAATGCCCGCCAGTTGCGAAAACTTGTTCAGAATGTTCGGGCAACTGCCACGGACTGTCAGGACCTAGTGCGAAAAATGGAGAAAATACCGTATTATAGCTCATTCCACGGCATTTCTAAAGGCAGTACTTAACTAACACACATACAAGTTTGTCATGGCTCAATTGAAAGGACAAGGTATGCGCCTGCGGGGCAGACGTTACTCTGACAACGACAAGGTACTGTTTTTGTCCCTGTTAAAGCAAAGTTCGAAGGGGTAGAAACTTTTGCGACACCTTTTTGCGGCACCATCTCGGGGAACTTTAAACAGATTCCTACGGCAAGTACCGTTTACCACCGGAATCAATGAAAGCATCATGAATTCCATTACGAAGAAGGTTCAGTCGGTCGACATATTAGAGCGGTACTGCATCATCATTTTTGATGAAATGGCTATTCAACCACTCCTGCAGTTCAATCACGGTTCCGATTCTGGTGGATTGCTTCCAGGAGAACGGTCACATTGGTGAGAGAAGGATAGTTATTGCCTACAAGGGGTAATGGTTTTCATGGCGCGTAGCATTTTCGGCAAGTGTAATCAACCCATGGCATACTATTTCAACGAAGGGGGTATGAAAACGGACTCTCTAGTCCGCAGGATACGCGAGGTTGTTGTGGCTTGCCAGGGGGCTGGACTAATTGTTAGCGCCCTTGTCCCAGATCAAGTCACGTCCAACGTTGCTGCCATCAACCGATTGTACGCTGAAACCGACGAATACTTTGCTCGACGAGGTGAAGAAACCAACTTTTTCGGAGTATTGACAGGGGGATAGGAAGTTGTACATCTCTGTGATGCACCTCACCTTCTGAAAGGCATGTGAAACAATTTCTTTTTAAATGACGTTCGGTACCAATGTTGGAATGGAACTGTAGAAGTTGCGAAATGGGATCACGTTCGTCAGTTGTACGACGTAGATGACAGAAAACAAATTGACTGTAGATCACATCAACACTACCCGCAAAATGAATGTCTTATAGCGGCTCAGGTGCTCAGCAGGAAAACGTGGCGGCTGCGATGACCACGTTAACAGCAATACAGAACGGTCTACCTAAGGAGGCTGTCAGTACACGGGAATTTTTGTTCTTTATGGACAAATTATTCGACACCGTCAACGGGGCCTCNATTGGGCAGAGGATATTTGTCATCTACGGTTTTTGAATTTAACTTCCTATAGTCAATTACTAGGCGCCATTTGCGTTTACCTGACGCATCTAATTTTTTTGGTACAATCCATATGGGACTCGACCACGGAGAACAGGATGGTTGAATTATTCCATTTTTAAGCATTGTGTTAATTTGTTCTTTGACTTCTGATTTATGAATTTCGGGGTAACGATACGATTTTGTAAAAATGGGGGTTTCGTCAGTTAATTTAACTTTATGTTGGATTTTGTTGGCAAAAGTTAAAGGAATATCATTGCAATAAAAGATATCTCTGAATTCGAAACATAATTTCTTTATTGATTCATTTTCTTGTGAGTTACAATGATCTAAGCGGAGATTTCGTAAAGTTCTCAAAAGGTTATCTTGCTCTTTATCTAAAGTTCTTTTTTTGTAAAATTCTGATTCATTATTAAAATTAATTTCGCATGAGTCTATTGGTTCAATTTTTAATGGTTTCTTAATTTCAATTTTCATTGGATTTTCATTAGCGTTTATTATAGTAGTGTACGCAAAATAAATTTCTACGTTAACTAACGCTGCAGGCATTTCTGTTCTATTACCAAATTTAGTATAGTCTAAAATTCCTAGTCCTTTTTCTAAATTAACTGGTATTTTAACTACGGTTTGTGAAGGTGAAATCATAATTTTATGATTGCTTATATGGTGTTTTTGAGGATTAAATGTTTTTTCTAAATTCTCGTAAATAACTGGTATCTTTGCAAATGGAGTTTCAATTCTATGTTCTTTAAGATTAACTGTAGCGCTTAATTGACTTAAAAGGTCTGCACCAATAAGTCCGTCATATCTAGAAGAAAAATCAAAAAGATAAAATTTATGATAACCATCTATTCTAAAAATCTCAAAATTTGGTACATAAGCTATTTCGTTATGGTACGTAATAGCATGAGCAGTGCGAACATTAAAAGTTTCGTTTGAAATAAACTGCTGATAAAAGTTATAAGCTAAAGATGGTTTTATTAAACTACCGGTGTCAATAAGAAAGTAAGCGTCAAATTCAGGAATGTAAATGTGAAGAAGATCTACACGATTATTGTTACCTTAAAAGGCTGGGGATTCCTCTGAAAAGGAGGTCTCGAAAAATTTGGAAGATTTGGTCTTTTGGAAATTCGGTCTAAATGGTGTGTTACTGAAAAGAGGTGGACGATAGGGTGGTGTTTGTGAAGGTATTTTAAACGGAAAAGTAGAACTTTGAGGATTTTGCGTATAATGCGAAGATATAAAATTAACTGTGTTTGGTTTTTGATTTACACAAGCTTGAGGTTTACAAACAGGTTTTTTAAGATTTTGGTTATGACCTGTACCGAAATAAACAAAATTTTCTTCTTCAGTTACATGTGCTAAGGCTTGTTCTAATGAAGTCGGATTTCTTAATCTAACCACTAATTGCATTTGATAAGGTAATCCGTTAATAAAAGTTTTTAAAGCAAAATTACTGTAGTGTTCTATTTTAATACGTCTTTCAATTTCTGTTACATCTGATGCATTAAGTTTAGCTAAAAGAAGGCTACGACAATCTTGTATTCGCATAACATATTGTAACGGAGTTTCATTTTTATGAGGTTTTAGAGAAATTAAATCATGTATAAGGCAATCTATACTTCGCTGATCAGAAAACGTTAAAATTAAGCAATCTTTAATCGCTTTCCAAGAATTAAGTTCGATTCTTGAACCTACTAAATCAGCTGCACGATCTCTTAGAATCGTATCAGATAAGCAAATATTAAAAGGATCGTTAACATTAGCAATATTTTAAAAAGCTCTTAAGAAATTTTCAGAAGCATTAATAAATCTTTGCAATTGTTTAGGATTTCCATCAAACACGGGAATGTTATCGACCTGATAACGAAGTAAGCCAATATCGACTGGTTTTGGGCTACTTGTATTCATTGCAGAAAATGATTCTATTAATTCGTTCAAATCTGGATTACCACTAATATTCATAAATTTCTACCCTTTACACGGGAAAAGCAATGGAATGAGCACTTCCAGTACAGTTGGTTTCATTTTTCTTAGCCTAGGTTCTAGGAATGAAGGCGATTTTGCCCTTCTCCTTTGTTGATGGGCGGCAACCGAAGTTAGGCTTGCTTCCAAAATTCCAATCCCCAAATTGGCTGGCTAATGATAGTCGACGATGTTTGTTCTGATCAGGAACCACCAATTTAGAGTTCTTTGTTTGTGCAGAACACGCGTAGTACACTTTTTCAAAAGTTCAATTTGTTTTTTGATAGTTAAATTAGTCGTTAAAACGACGCGGTCCTTTTTTGGCGATTTTTGTCCGAACCGTTTAACTATCCTACTGACTGCGCCAATTAAGTTTCGGGAATTTGAAACTTTGTTTTTAAAAACGTTTATTAAAAACTAGAGATTACAATCTACTTCATTATTAGAAGAATGAAAAGTAACTAACTCTAAAAAACCATTCCTTCTTTCTCTGCACATAAAAAAATTAAAAATACATAATACATATAAAAAATGATTAGGCATTAGATTTAACGTAATGCATAGAACATACAAGTAATATGATACTCAATGCTCAGCGTATGAACTATAGGTGAATATAACTGCCGCGTGCATATACACGTAGAGAACCAAATTTCTATGAAAACCCAAAAAATTGCAATTTTCGATTGCAAATGACTACATTTGCCGTAGAAATAGTAGAATTTATTAGGTAACTTTATCAATAATCTGTATTTTCACATGTTCTTTTAAAATTATGTGAAGTTTCTTCATTACTAAATTAAATTTGGAATACCTAATAAATTTATTTCTACTGCGATTTTATTGTTACGAGTTTGGGTCGAAACTGTAATTTTCATTATTTTAGCTTACGAAGGAACGGGGTAGTGGGATTAATTGTAAATATCGGTTTACTATTTACTTAACTTTTTTACGTGTTTTCTTTTATTTTTCATTTTGTCTGTACCTTTCTACTGCAGTAAATGGTAATAATTTTTGTTACAGCAGCTTTTCCGTACAACATTGCTACAATGGTGTTTTACTGTTGTACTCACGGCTGCTGTAATACCAACAGGGATGTTCCCATGCATATTTTTCCTAAAGACGAAATGGTAAGGAACTGAATTTTCAATGTATATTGTTTAGTAAATTACACGTTACTTTGACAATGATGGTTACTATAGCCATTTCGTACGTATCACGTTTCATATGGAGTTGCACGATTTGCTATTGTACATATTAAGAATTAATGTATCATTCTAACGTTTCATCTGTGACTTATGTATTACGGTAATTTTATTTATTATTATTATTTTTTTTATCACAGCTTTATCAACTGTGGATTGAAAGGGTTGGCCGTGCTTCCTGCAGAAACCGATGGACCCTGTAAGGAGATCGTATCGACTAAGTCACATCAACTTCGGTGCGGACATTTTCTACCGTGGTCGGTGGAACAAATCCACCGTAAACTGGGATAGCGTTCCGACGTTATTGTTGCCAAATGCTCCTGCAGAGAGAGGTAAGTAATATCCATTTTTCAACTTGTCCTCCATATTTTCTTTATGTTTCATTTCATTAGATAACCAATCCCTGCATACATGTGATTGTTATTGAGCATACACTAAGAATTGAAATCACTTGAGAATTTTTTCTCTAATTGTTTTGTTTTCACAGAAGTCCTACATACTGACGCCGATTCCTACGAAACACTACCGACCAACAACGGCGTCTGTAATCACAACCGGTCAGTTCCGTAATAATATGATGTTGTTTTCTCATTTACGCAATGAAACATTCTTTACAGGTAGTACATTTCTCGTCGACACAGAGGCAACACCCGCCCGATTTACTTCTGTGGCCGAAAGTTCCGGTAAGTTACCGTATATAGTATATGACTACAATGCCTTTGTACTTATTTTCATTTTTTTCACAGATGTGCTCGTTCGCACGGAAATAGAAGCGACACCCGCTCCGCCCACATCTGCACCCACAACTTCTGGCATGTTGTCCCTCATTACTTCCCGTAGGAAAAATTTCCATTCAATTTCCATTAAAAAAGTGCCATTTAATTACCATTGATAATATAATAATTAATGGTAATAAATGGAGAATTGCCAATGGGATTCCCATTCCCAAACTCAATGGGATTTTTATTCCTGAACTCAATAGAAATCCCATTGCGTTCCATTGGAACTTCATCAGTATGTTTTTTTCCACAATCCATATTATTTTGTTGAGAATTTGGTTCTGCAGATACCTGAACCAAAGCACGTGCCTGGATGTCGGGCTCTTCATAATTTTGTTAAGATTTTGTTTTCACTTGCTTCTAATAAAACTACATCACTCTCATAGATGACTTCGGCCTCCTCTATATTCTGTCATGGTTCAAAATCATCAAACAATGCTTCTAATGTAGGCCTTTTCACTTGTCTAGGGGTTGTTTAATAAAAGGCTCCGGGTAGTTGAATACATATATAATAAACATGATAATGAATATAAACAGCAAACAGCAAAACGAGTAACAAACCGGAACTAAATATATACAACTTATATACAATATTCAATGCATTGCGTCTTCCAAAAATGCTCAACGTCTAAATGGAATATATCGTTTTAATCAAACGTCTTACTACCTTGCTTGTCGCTCACTCTACTACCGTGGTGGTCCCTCACGTACCCCCAACATGCACGCATAGGTAAAACTAGATTATTGATTTTCCACCACCTAATTGGCAATATCGCTACTCTTGCATCTGGGCAAGCAAAAACTGTATCGAAAAAGGCTAATAGTATATGTGGCCAGGAATTATATTGTAAATGGAAACAATTATTTTTCCATTTATGCCAAATGGTTTTGAATGGAATTTACAAATTTTCCATTGATTCCCATTGAAGTTCAATGGAATTTTTTTCTAAGGGGAATTATTAAATGGAAACAATTATTTTTCCATTTATGCCAACTGGATTTGAATGGAATTTACAAAATTTCCATTGATTCCTATTGAACTTTAATG